TCCCGTGGAGACCCCATGCTGGATTGCACATCCGTATCGCCAGGAAGCCAGCCAAGTTGCAGATCTTGTCTCCTGTTAGGGCAGAGCAGCACAAAGTGCCGTACATCACGGTGCACGTCGAGAAAGGCACCAAGAGGAAGCAGCGAGGCCGAGAGCAGCATGCAAAGCTTACGGAGCACCTGCCAGAGTTGGACGACATAATCTACGACACAGACTTGTCGGAAGAACAACAAGCTCTCCAACAAGAACGAGCAGACATCGACAAGCTCCTCGAACCGACGTACTCCAGAGAGGTATTGGTTACGGTCTCGGATGATGTATGGCAAGATATTCGAAGGCAGACAGAACATTGTGAATTATTCAGCCCAGACAAGACCACGGTGGACAGTTTGGCTTTTCAGTTAACAGAAACGAGCAGCGTGCAGTTGGGCGAGCAGTACACTCGATGGGCACAAGCAGCAGACCATACCCTGGCCATCTTGTGCGACAGAGAAGACCAAGTTAAAACGGTTCGAGGACGGCCAGTGAAGTACCGCTTGGTCCCAGTAGCTCCTCGGCGTGAGCAGCGCGCGCAGGAACCAGAACAAGCCCGACATGACCGTTGGGTGGAAATGGGATCTCTCTTACGGCAATTGGCAGTTTCAAAGAACTCTACTCGACAGCAGCAACTTCGAGGAATGTTACGATCTCAATTGACGCACGTAGAATCATTGGAGTACCCACCACTGCCACCGTCCAGCCTCAACTGTGTACGCCAAGATGAGAAAGAAGACTCTTGGGCCTTGGATATTATTCGCAAGACAGAGCTGGACACAGACCATCAGTTGTGGAGTGAAGCAATACTTCAAGCGGCGCAGCGGGCTGAACGACACGGCAAGCGAGCCTGGCAGAACGCGAAGCAGAGCATCCACCGTTGGACAAAGAAGGCCATGGACGGCAACATGAAGGAAGCTCATGGATATCTCAAGCTGCCCGAATCCCTCTCGCTTCCTGAGCTGTGCATCGACCCCGACAGCAGTGGAGTTATCGCCAACTTGCAAAGTGCGGTGGAGACGAGAGCCAGACAACGGAGAGCAAGATGGACCAAGCACGACGAGTACCACGAGACCAAGGCACATATGCAGAAGTTGCGCCCACGGGCTGAAGCAGACCTTCCTGGGCGTGAACCCATCACCTTGGACCAGCTGGAAGCAGCTCTCAGGACGACGCCCAATTCCTCAGGCCAAGGTTCGGACATGTGGAAAGTGCAGCATCTGAAGGCGTTGGCACCCCAGGCCAAAGAGGAATTGGCCGTCTTGCCCACCAGATGTGAGCAAACCCTTTCATGGCCGCACCAATGGTTACACATTTGGCATGAACTTCTACGCGAAGGATCCAATTTGAAAGCTGGAGACGAGAGGCCGATCGGCTTGATACCTTTACCAATGCGACTTTGGGGGCGAATCCGACAACCAACCATGGCAGAGTGGGGCAGCAAGAAGGCAGCCTTTTGGGATGCAGCAGTGGCCCAGTCGTCAGCCCTCCAGGCAGCTCTCTTCAGCGTGGCCATGGACGAAAGCAGTGCCTGGGATGGAACGCAAGCGTGGGGCTCAATCTATTTGGACATCAAGAAGTTCTGCGATTCGATCAGCATCCCGGTCTTGATTGATCGCGCTTTGAAGCTTGATTTTCCCCCCGTGGAGCTTTACCTCAATTGTCTGGTATACCTCGCTCCGCGAGCGATCAGAGCAGGAGGAGCATTCGCTCCACCGATAATCCCTGGGAACAGCATCGTACCAGGGTGCAGCAATGCAAATAATGGTGCAAGGGCTTTCTTATACGAAGTTTTGGAACGAGCTCACAATCACGTACCCCGAGCACTTCCCAGACAGTATGTGGACGATGTCACGGCGAGGTCCGACGGCTCGCACAAGCAGGTCAAGCACGAGTTGACCACTGTTGCGGGCGAGTTGGTCAAAGGATGCATTGCGAGCAAGTTGGAGATGTCGGACAAGTCGGCAGCGATGGCATCCCACCCAAGTATTGAAAAAAAACAGTCTCGCAAGCAGTTCGGCAACTCGGGGCAACAGTCAAAGGGGCCTCGTACGTGCGCGACCACGGCATCGACATGGCGAGAGGGCGCAAGAGGCGCACCACGACGGCTACGGAGAGACGCAAAGCGGCCAGAGCGAATGCGCCGAGCCAGGGTTTTCAAAGGGGCAGGCAAGCGTAGACGGAAGCTGGCCACGCTCAACTTAGTCAATGTCCGTGCTAAGTCATCATACGACGTCCCTGCAGTAGGCCAGTCTCCAACAGCGGTGCGACGTGCGAGAGCTGAAGCAGCAGACATGCTCGGGTACACGACAGGCGGCAGGAGTACATCCATGGTGATGTTGTTGCACTACTTCGAGAGGGACCCCAAAGCTGTTGGGGCCATATCAGCAGTCAGACGGCATATTTGGAGATGAAGACACCACCCAACTCATGGCGACCATCACGGCGGACGTCATCAAGGAGCTGTGGCAGCAGGCGGCCAGAGATCGCCACGGAGGAGGCTGGAGTTCTACGCCAGACCTCACGACAGCAAGCAGAACCCTACAGAGAATGAGACGTACAGAGTCACATCGTGAAGTTGGTGCGCTAGAAGCAGTAATTTGCAATACCATTTGGGCCGAAGATCGTTGCCGTGCTGAGGCTACGAGTGTGATGGAGTCTGTACCAGGTGCGCGACAGGCCAGAAAGAGACGATGGCCCACCGCGTCTGGAGCTGCCCTCGCACATGCGGTCAGGACCACCCTTGGATCCGTCAGAGCGCCAAGCTATGCGATGAAGCAGTCCGAGACATTACTAACGGGACCAACCTGGAGCTGTGGCTAAGAGGGCTACTACCATCCACGTGGAACTCCGTACCGCCTCCGCCTGCGTGGGGCACGCCTTGCCTGCCGTGCTACATCGATTGGGACGGGCCGACCGTCACGTTCGAGGGCACGGTGAACTTCGAGGACCGCATCGAGTGCCAGCTGGCCTTTCTGGACGGCTCGGCTTCGAGCAGCGACGCGCACCTTGCGCGCGCGGGCTGGGGCGTCTACTTTGCCCAGTCCGCTGCCTGCGTGGAAAATGACGACCCCGACACCCCTCGGCCAGGAGCTTGCGGGGGCTTAGACGGAGCCCAGACGGTCCCGTGTGCGGAGTTGGCGGCCCTCTGGTGGGCCTTAAAAATGACCAAAGGGCCGATTTGGCTCTACACGGACAGCCAGATCGTTTACGACGGATGGCACGGTTCCTCGGACACCTCGGGAGAACTCAGAGGCTGGTGGAAGAGGGTCTTCTCCGAAGCTCAAGGTCGACGAGTGATGCTCAGTAAGTGTAATTCGCACCTAGATAGAGTTTCGCTAGCCTCCCTGGTCCAGACCCCCTGTGTCTCCCGAGGCACGGACCTTGCCGACAAATTCGCCCAACTAGGAGTTGAGCAGGTCTCAGCTGAAATCGACCCAGAGGTCAGAGATCTAGCCCGTGCTGAATTTAAAGTGTGGTTGGTCCAGAGGAGGCTGGCTATAGTCAACGCGGCGTCCGCTTGTGCCGACTACGAGCGTAAGAGCCGCCCGCGTAAGGATTGCCGTGTGCCGCCCGCTGCCTGGCGCGTAAGGAAGGCTCTTGAAGCGTCTTCGGGGCACCTGGTCTGCACGGTCGGCCCCTCCTGGGTGTGTGGCCACTGCCAGAGTGGCCCTGGGAAGTTTTCTATTTTGGATTGGCTTCGCAGTGGCAAATGTCCAGGACCCCAGTACCATAGAGTAGAGTCTCAAGGTATACCTGTGCGCCTTCCCTCTCGGTTCAGTATCGGGGACAAGGCGGTGCATGAGTCACACAATGCAGCAATATTGTATGGCCAGATTTTTTGTTGGAGGTGTGGGTGCCTTGGCTCGAAGACCCCCACGGGTGGTAGACTGGGGGCGGGCATCGTCGGCATGTGTAAAGGGCACCCCACCCCTGCAGGCCAAGAGGCTTTGAATAAAATTCGGCGTTGGGAGGTCCCCTCAACGAAGGGTAAGGCCGTGTGGCCCGATGGCACCCCCAATGCCCCCAGGCACCCAAAGCGTGAAGTGCGCCGCAAGGGTTAAGATAACCCCAGATGCGCCAGCGGCATATCGGCGGGATTTGCTGTCTGGTTAGTAATCGTCCTGTAATCGTTCCTCCCCTCCTCCCCGTCTCCCTCCCCTCCTCCTTCTCCTGCTCCGCCTCCTCCCCCTCCTCCTCCCCCTCTCGCACCCCCTACTGGCTCCTCTTCTCCATTGTTCACTTCGTTTCTCCTCTTGTCGTCGTCTCCTCCCCTCTTCCTGTCCTCTTCCTCGCCTCTCTCCCTCTCCCCCCTCCATCCCCTTCCCCCTCCCCATCAGGCCTCGGGGGTCTAGGGTCGGCCTGTTCGACGACGCGGAGCTGGAGGCATAGCTCTGAGAGCCAAGCGGGCTTCAGACTCAGAAGCCGGAGTCGCAGGGTAGCCACGGAGTTCGTTCTGGTCTCCGGCAGGAATCCCCGGCGCAGGTCGCTTGAGCCTGTGGCGTGTCCTGAGAGGTTTTCTCTAAGCGATTCCCAATACGTTTGCTCTCAAGCTCTCCAGAAGCCCTTCCGAAGCTCCGTCCAGGAGCATCTCGAGCTTTTGCGAGAGATCTTTTCCCGCCCTTTTGCGCTTCGCTACCCCGGTCTTGGACGTCGCAAGTTGCTGTCTGCCATTCGAAGACGATGCACCGCCTATCCCGACATTCCACGACGACGTTGCCCCCGCCCTCCGCCCCCAGCGGGGGGGCGACCTGGACATGCGATTTCGTCCTCCTCCTCCTCCTCCTCTTCCTCCTCCTCCTCCTCCTCCTCCTCCCCCTTTCGCCCCCCCTTCCCCCCTCCTCCTCTCCTCCTCCTCCTTCCTCCTCCTCCTCCTCATCCTCTCCTATACATCCTCCTCCTCCTCCTCCTTCTCCTCCCTCGGCGGGCGCGGCGGCGCGCCGCGTCGGCGAGCCGCACCATCCGAGGCCGGGCCTCCTCCCCCCGAACGTCCACGAGTGCCTCAGCGGCAGCGACGCCCAGGCGCGGCCGCCCCGGCACCCGCCGCCCGGGAGGGGGGCCTCCTCGGGGCCGCCTGCGCACCGATGCGCTGCGATCCGACTCGCCGGCCTGCCGAGACCGCCGAGCCTTCCTCGGAAGGCCCGGGGGCCTCCGAGCCCTCTGAGGAGGCCCGCCCCTGCTCACTTCCCCCCCCCCCCTCCGCGCGCTCGCCGCCGATGGCAGCCCGCTTGGCCCGCCGAGCTCGCCGAGCTCGCCGCAGCGCACGGTGCGCTTCGCCGCCGAGCTGCCCGGAGCAGCTACCCGCCTCGCCGGGAGCGACGGAGGCCCTCGAGCGACAGGGGCAGCGAGCGGCGGGAGTGGCGGGGCGTGCACATAGCTATAAGACAATAGCTTGGGGGCAATTTTTATTTCAACTGTTTTTGAGTATTTTGTTGAGTAGTTCTTTTGCTTGTTTCTTTTTCCCAACCCTTCTTGGTTGGGTATTCGTTTTGAATGGAGCACTGTGGTCGCGTCCCTCCTCCTCCTCCTCCTCCTCCTCCACCTCCTCCTCCTCCTCCCGCCTCCCGACCCCTCTCGCCTCCTGCCCTCTCTTCGCCGTCGCTGGGGGGCTGCGATCTGTGAAACTGTCGCCACTTTCGAGGGCTGCTTGTGGGTCCTGCGGAGTGAGGCACCGCGCAGATCTGAGCGAGACCTCGCTGTCCCTGGGGGGCTGCGATCTGCGAAACTGTCGCCACTTTCGAGGGTTGCTGGTGGGTCCTGCGGAGTGAGGCACCGCGCAGATCTGAGCGAGACCTCGCCGTCCCTGGGGGACTGCGATCTGCGAAACCGTCGCCACTTTCGAGGGTTGCTGGTGGGTCCTGCGGAGTGAGGCACCGCGCAGATCTGAGCGAGACCTCGCCGTCCCTGGGGGCCTGCGATCTGCGAAACCGTCGCCACTTTCGAGGGTTGCTGGCGGGTCCTGCGGAGTGAGGCACCGCGCAGATCCGAGCGAGACCTCGCCGTCCCTGGGGGGCTGC